AATCACTTGTGTGCCTATGTCTTATGTATTATAATTCAAAGATCGCTACATACTTTATGTCACATATTCTACTTTTAATTTTCCATGGGACGTCATATGCAATCATGATCATTCAGTACAAAAGTATTATGCCAAACTTATTTTTCTTTATCCATTCTATTCTTATATAACATTCAAGATACTCAAGATTCTTTTGATATTTTGTACAAAATATATAATTTATTATAAATTTACATTTATTATAAATTGTAATGTAAGTCAAGCGGCACGGTTAACATTTCTTCAGATGTCAAAGCGTTCATTATCACTGAAATTGTAAATGCATTGGAAAAACGATGTACATAGTCAGATAATTAATGGTTGTAACATTTTACCTCGATGAGTTTCATGATGCATCTTATATCCAGTAGAAGAATCTGTGTTCTTAATAATTCTCAGAAAATTCATTTTCCTACTGAATACAAAATGCGTTGTAAGATTTATCATGAGATAAAAAAACATCGCATCTTTCAACGATTTGACTGTACGTAATGATCATTTACACTTACACCGTATATTCAGACTTGTGTATAAAACAGCATTTGTGAACTTGTTGAACGGTATGCAGAGAAATGTATGGATGCTTACGTTCGCTTACACTTACATGCATGCAAAAATGCATGCACGTGAGTTCTGCGAATGCGGCCTGTGGGACAAAACTCTCTTTGCATTTGTGACTGAAATCTAAACTCGCAGACGATATAAAATTTGTTTTCTTCGCTGGTAAGATTTTTCAGGATTGAATGCATTGGTCTTAATCGGACTGGTCGCAATCAAACGCTTGCATCGACATTACACACGAAAAATGCATTCTCCATTACGATTTTCATTCCCGCGATATTTTATCTGAAAATTTGATTAACGTGAAAATCCCAAGTGAGCCGTTGATAATGAACCATTGGTAATGCTGCTTAATGAGCGATTCAATTCGAGCAATAACCGTCGTAATAAACGCCACTGCAAATCGCGCGTTTGCAAACGTTTGTTCTCGCGAGTAATGAACATCACAAGTTCATAGAAGTATTTCGCTCGGTGGTTTCGCGACAGTCGTTCGCGATATTTACCCTGGTGGTGAAGTAGTTGAAGATCATGTTGACAACCTTGTCGTCTTCGTTCTCCTCCATTGGCTTGACGCACATCTTTCTCCTCGGCATCCGTCCCGAACGAACTTGAGGAGAAAATTTCGTCTCTGAGCGAGAAAACGCGCGTATGGCGCAACACTGTATTCACTTACCACCTTTTATATCGCGTAATGGGACAAAATGTTTGTCATGATCACGTTAGAATATATAGAAGTTAGCACGTTTAAAAGATCTCTATGTTCATTTCCTTCATCTTCATTGCGCCTTAAATCTCGATCTGTCATTTTTAACGGTCGATAATTTCAATATCCAAGAACTGTTAATTAATTTATACAACATAACGTATCACTTTATACATACATATGTATATAATTATGCGCTACACTATTGTTATTACGATTGCTTATTATTTGTCACACTTTCTCGTATCGTCGCGAGTTCCTCCACTTCCCGTTCTTGTCGTGTATGCGCTCAGTGAGAACTAACTCTTGTCTTCGCGGCAGTCCGGTCGACGACAGACGTAGAGCGTTATTGATAAGCTGACTGTGAGTAAGATGTGACAGCTCGTTAATCAGGCCATCCATGTGTAAACATTGTCAGGTTCGTTGCCACACGTCTCACTGAATTTATATGTGATCGATCGTCTGACCCAAGCGTTTGCTTAAACAGCGTCTCCATGATTAGATATCGATAATCTCGAATGTTGTTGCACGAGAAATGCAACTGAAATCAGATGACGAAGACTTCCTATCACTAATCATCGTTTCCAGGAAACGTCTCGTGTAAATTTCTCTCCTTTCCTCCAGATCCTTCCTGGCCGATCATCGACTAGTCGCCACGTCGTTTGCCAGCTCGTCGAGAAATCAGTTATCATCGTAGAAAAACGTCCGACCAGGACTCCTCGAATATCTTCTGCCTCTCCTCCAGGTTCTTTCTCGTCGTCGCCGCGAAACACCTACTCCCACAATCGTGAATCGCGAATCATCCCTCGTGCGCGTCCGTTGCCTCGCTTTCGCAACCGACCGGGTTTACACCGGAGCTTGTTACGACTCGCTCGCCTCGTCATTCCTCGTCGAATCACTTCGTCCTCGATTTTCCACAGAACTCGCCGAGCCCGACGCGAATTCCCACGACGAGAGGCGCCGGAACGGTAGAAAATTCTCGAGTTCTCGAGATTGCGTCTCCGTTGATCCGCGCGCGCTCCTCGTCCGAAAATCTCGTCGGAATTCCCTGCAATTCGAGCAACCCCGCAAATTTTTCCTAGCGAGAACTCCGTGAATACGAATGTTAACGTGACGTTCGCGGAATGCCAGTCCCGGATTTTCAAAAGA